GATAAAAAGGTATGCATAAAAATGATAATAATAATAATACTGAAAATGATAAATTGATAAAATAATAGCAACAATAATAATGTGAGTACTAACAACAATGAAGGGTAAACATTTAACAAGGAGAAATCCCAATTAAATGTTCCATAATCATTAAAATGTCATCTAGAACTGTGATCACAAAAATTAAAAATTAAGTTATGCCTGGATCTCATCCAAATGATAAAAAAAATGTTCCCAAACGTATCGATATGCTTCTTGTATTTGGAGTATCACAGAACACAACGACCTCTGTTTCTTTGGTTTTTTGGGGTAAACAGTTCACGATTCAGCTTGTACGCACTGCCAGTTTGGTTCAGTATTTTGGGCAAGTTAGAATGACCAGTTATACCGTTAAGGTCACAAATTAAAGTGCCTGTAATCGAAAGTTACGTAAGACCTAGATAAACTGAAAACAATTTTGAAATGACAGAAAAATGTATTTAAACTTTGAATGAATGAACTTGACTTTGAAGTCCCGACCCAAATAATCGCGGTCCGAATCCTGATACAGGGACAGAAAATGTACACACTGCTGACGTGTCTCAAAGAGGGCGAAACAGCTGTCCACTGTTATTTGTTGGTCGTCACAAAGGTTTCCGTGACAGTAAAAAATAAAATACTTTTAATAAGGTTGAACTGGAGCAAAAGTGGCCATGGGATCAAACACGGGGGAGGAGGCATAGACTGTCAACGTCCACCGCAAGATTTTTTGGAACAGAATATGGAATAGGAGGTATCTAGAAAGAGGACAGTAGCACGATTTGAACTCTATCCTGACGAGTTAAATCACATCTCACCTAAAACAATGCACTTACCGCTTCATCAAACCTGACAACATGGCATGAAATACCGGTGAGTGGGATGAAATGATTTCAGTTTCCTTATATCTACCTAAATGTTGATTGAGTTTAGCAACATACGAGGGCTAAGCGAAATGTTTCCGGATGCACAAACTGTTTTATTTTTTACAAAAAAATAAGCATTACATTTTATTCATTATTCTCCAACAGCGTTCATGTATACACAGTTCCGTGCACTCAAGCCCCTTTGGTGAAACAGCTCAACCATGCCGAAGAGGGTAAAAGCCCTTCGACCAGTTCAACAAAGGCCTCCACTGTAGCTGTTAGTGAACCGTGTGGAATCTCACACATCATGTGCTTAATAGTTGAGAACACAAAAAGACGCATGGAGCCAGGTTTAAACTGTAGGGGGGTTGACTAACCTCCTGGATGCATTCTCTAGCCAGAAAATTGCCTACTTCATGGAACCTGTGTGCAAGTCCGTTGGCATGGTACAGCAAAAGATTCTTCGTGCTCGAGTCCTTGGATGACATCTAGCAACAGCTTCCACCATTTTCGGCAGACCGTGGTTGGCCTCTCAGTCTCCGGTGAGTGTGCTTTGCTGTACAAGCCGTATAGTAACCACATAACCGGTTTTGTTCATGAACACAGCCTCCATCTGCTTTGCCACATTGCGCTGGAGTCGAAATATCTAAGACAGTGCCCAACCAACCGACATCAACCAAGCCGATTGTTGCTGGGTCTCTGATTTGAAACTATACACCCAGATCTCATCACCACTAATGATCTACCGAACCGGACTGAAACATCCACCATGAAACCTGGCAAGTATGGTGCAGCACCAATTCACCCGAACAGTTTTCGGTGCCTCACGGAGCTGATGCGGTTCACAGCGTGCGCATAATTTTCTGAGGCCGAGCTCCCCATGTGGAATGGTGCGGATTGATCCCGATAAGATTCTGATGTCTTTCATCTTCTGTGCCGTTGTCACCCGCCTATCCTCCACCACCACCGCTTGCATAGCAACAGTTTTGTCCACTATGGTGCCCCCCCCCGCATGTCGATCACACCGCTCGTCACGCTTGAATTCCTCAAACCACTGCTTCTTGAAAGCGCTTCATCACCAAAGACAGCTTGCAAGTGATCAGCACTCTACAGGTGCTTGAAACCCCCGTTGTAGTAGTAAAATATATCGCTCTCTAGTCACATCGACTGGAGTCCAAACCTCTTTAGTGAAACAGCTCGACCATATCGACCGAAGCGGGTCAAAGCCTTTCGACGAGTTCAACAAAGCCCTCCATTGTAGTTGCCAGTGACTCGTATCGGATTCCATGCATTATGCGCTTGATATTTGGGAACACAGTGCTTCTTGAAGCCACGTCATCATCAAAGGCAGCTCGCAAATGATCAGAACTTATGCTGATGTTAACGCTGTATTAAACCACATTTGCATAATCGCAGACAATCATTGACAGAATTCCATCCATACAGTCCGAGTATAGCGGCACGCCTCATTTGCTTTGTGAGCCGCGTTCTCGACTGTGTTGTGATATTTGTTTCTGTGTGCGTGAGTAGCAATCACTAGCAAACACTATGCACAGTACGAGATTACAATTCACGTTCTTCTTGTCCAATCATCTACACCTCGTACTCGTCGTGTACTGACTGCGTATCCGCGAAACGTTTTGCTCAGCCCTCATTGGCTACGGAACAGACAGACAATCGATGACATTCACATTGACAGATCGTTTAAGGTAGAGCCTGCTTCAATGCGATCTGTGATGCAATATGTTTGCTTTATGATAAATATAGTAAATGACAACCAAGGATCTAAGTTGATTTATTTTGTCCAATAGTAGCTGGATTCACCAGCTCTTGCATATAAACACGATCGATTCACAAAATGTCTCGGATCAAATTAGAACAAGTGATATATTCAAGACGGAGAAAAATGATGGTATTTTGTTGATTGTTCATCTCTCTTTTTTATGAGAAAAATCTGTTCGAATCAATCAATCGATGAGAATCTCCATCTTTGCCTCATTTTTCACGTTCTCGATGCACTGAAACGATTAACTCACATTCATTTTCCTCACCACTCCATCCTTTGTTTGTGGTGACAAATCAAGTCCACTGGCTCACACGTTTCACAACGAGTCCGGTGTGGATTTGGGCACAAACTCGCTTCAGGTTTCCGTGGCCACAGACTATACAAAACGACCAAATGTTTTCCGAATTGTACTTCAAAAGTCCGGCGAATCTTATCTATTTCAGGTAAGCACCTGTTCCGAATGGATTGAATAAATTGGTCGAATACTGTAACCGGGCCCTTCTGATTGTGACACTGACTGCCCAGTTGTGTACTATGAAAGATAAACGATGTCTGACAGTTATTTCGTCCTCGTTTGGTCTCATCAGCAAACGAGTCTGCATCCATATCGGGACTGGAACAGCAAACCTTAGAATTCTAATATTCATTTTGTCGTAAGCAATAAATGGATGAAATATATAAAATGAATGTTTTAGATGCATCCTCGTTTCTGCCCGATCTCCGACGATTGTCTGAGTAAAGAAAAGGTCTGTCAACTTTCAGAAAGGGGACCGGGGCCACAAAAACAGTAGAGAAATCTAGAACTGGTGATGGGTGGTCGTGACGGGATTCGAACTCAAGACATCCGGATCACTGTTTTGACCACCTCTACTTCATGAACACCACCGTTATGCTGTAGTGTGTTTGAATTGCCTCGATAACAAATGAGCTGGTTGGCACAGTGGTAACACACACGCCTTCCATGCGATAGGTCCGGAGTTCAAATCCAGGTGAATATGCATTACTGATGATATCTAGTAAGATTGAAATTTGAGTCAATAGTGCTTCTGAGTGTATGGTTGAATCGATGGAACTGGGGATTGTGCGTGTAGGTGTAGTCCGAACGATAGTCAGTCAAATCAATAAATATCAATTATCCCACACCACTACTCACAAGTAACTGTGAGTTAAATGCTAATGTTAAACATTTGTTTGATCTCTTGAATCGCTATCGTAAAATAAACTGGAATCACACTTTGCGATGGTATATCCTAATGAACGGACATGTAACGGATAGCTAAGAACCACTGAAATGGGAAAGGAATGATCAGTTGCACGGAAAATTCATTGATTGCACTATTAATATTTGAACACACAAAGATAAATGATGTAATTGGGATAATCACGCGTCCATAATTGTCCGAAGTTTCACATTGTGGCTACGCAGTATGTTGTTGTTTGTGTCTGGTTGTCATGACGTATTTTAATATTGAGTGACCCCGGGTTCCCACCTGAATATCTACCGGTGTGGGTTGCGTTCTCACATTCGTGAAACATTTTAGAATGTAGTTGGCCATTAGTCGTGATTGCTGACAATTTGTTCTACCCATGTGTAATCGTCATTGCAACAACAAGTCAACCGAGACTCATTGATAGAGAGACAGAATTGCCTTGTTCATCGTTCAGAAGGTGTTAGTGTCTGAAAGTCAGCTTTTCGGGGTACAGTTGGGGGTGGATTACATTTGTGAGGCTGTTTACTATGAAGAGCAATAGATTGTGCTGGTTACAAGAAAACACATATCTCTGTCGATGAATAAAGGTTTATACAAATCCATCTTGGCAAACCACCGCGAGCACTGATCATTGTGTGTTATTTTCGAGGACTCATCTGAGCGACTCACAATTCCAACCTTGAAAACGCCAATGAACCGCTATTTTCTTCATGAAAACAGCAATACGGAGATTAAAAATGTCTCAAAAGGGACGCAAACTGTTCACGTTCTGTAAGAACGAAAATATCGAACACATTACTTATATCCCATATATGGCCTTTATTCCTACTAAAAAAAGAGCGCAGTAGTTCCGTAGCTGTGGATAAAACTTTTCAGAGGTGTGTTTTCCGCGCGATTGTGTCTTCCACTTATCATACCTTTTTCAATTTAAGATGACCAAATAGTAATTTTAGATGAAATGTTGCAATGTGAATAGCACAGTGTGATTGCTCCGTCGTTTCACATCGTCTTGTCCCTTTTACCTGTGACCTTGAACAAGTAGATTCCCTCTGACCCTCTTTGCGATCTGATTGGATCATATTCTACGATTTACGGCACTTAGAATCCCTCACCACAACACGAAACTGTTTGATTACCGGTTTGTACTTCTGGTAATAGTCTCGTTGTCACATCCAGTCCCTCCGTGTTGTGATAGCACTCGAAAAATATTGTCGTGCCCCTTTCCGTAGCACGTGATATCGTACATCGTCGTACATATTTTGCTATCTCAGTTTGTCACGTGGCTGAGGCTAACTCATGGTCTGTCTCGGTGCTGTGTAGAGCATTGCAAACGTTCAACCCTCATTTTACGTCGTCCGCTACCACCCCGTTTGTACCGAGACCACTTCATTCATGAACGTGCATGGTGAGCACTGATCAGTTTCTGCAGCTCGTTTGCCTGGCCAAGTGAGAGATGTAATCGTGTGAGAGACCCCACCGAACCCTAAAGTGTTCCTTTTTGTTTCGTATTCAACCAAGCCTTCGTCAGTTTGCACATGATGACATAGCTCTGACTGAATTGTGGACTGCATTGTCCAGTCTGTGTGTGCAAACAAGCAGACAAGATCATGGTCGGTGCATATTTTTTGTTGAGAGTGGGACGATATTCTCGAGCTCTCTAGATCAGTGTGCGGATAGGATACACATGGATCTGGGTACACAATGATCCCATCGAACGTTTCCAGCATGTACTCTGAAAGCTACTATCCACATAGCAACATGACATCTTAAACTGATATTCGGACATCTTAATTTTAAAAAGGTATAGACGGCTTCACGACTGAATAGATTATGAATACTTTGGTGACCAAGTCTCTCATACCGGAATATTGAACGACTTTTATCTCATATCGTCTCAATAAGTGTACTTGGCTGTTTTAATTCAACAGATCGTGAAGAAGCTCGAATTCCATGAACCTCGATATTCTTTTTTTGTATGAAATGCGTCCCACGGTGGACTACTTCTTCATCGAGCGAACTTTCGCGTACCGTCAGCAACACTAAATGCTACTGAGGTCTGTTCCGATCGAGCACCTACCCACCACAACCCGTAAAGTCAATTATACCATTCCCTTCGATGATTTATCTTCATACGTGTTTCATATGTTTCAAGCTACAAACAATGAGCATCACCGACACTTATTGGTCCATTCTGTCTGGTAACCTGTAGATTATTACTAATTGTAATTGTTTTTGGTCATTAGAACAGTGAGTAATTACCATTACGCATCTTTACAGCTCGGGAATCACAATAGTTTGAACAATTCTTGTACTTTGTCTGTCTTCGTAAATCAATCGATAGCTCCAGTGGAACGAAAACTACCCTTTAAATATTCACAGATTGTTAGAACAATTTACCACGACAATGTTTTGAATAGTATTTCGCATTAGTCTGTGTTTCAGGCTTATCTCGAGTCGGATTCCGTTGTCAGTTGAGCAATATAACCAGCTGACCTGGAGCAAATGAACTTTAAAGTAGATTCCTCAGGATGCAAATATCTGTAACAGGCAATTCAGTCCAAATTGAGAACAAAAGTTACCGGTATTGATTTCTTCTCGACCCTTCGACCCCCCCACCCCCACCCCCTATCATTTCAATTTTCAGGCTCCCAATGAAGAAACCATGCATCGTTGGGTAAATCGATTGAACATGTGGTGTCAATCCAACAGTTCTAGACTACCTCATCCAGCATCAACGACCATAATCACCTTGTCCAGACCGTTGGAAGAATATGATGGTCCACCGGAATTAATTGGATCCGCAAGCGGAGGAGAGGGTATCACAGATGCAATAGACGAGAACCCGTTGGAATCCACCAACGCCCAATATTCGACAAGTCAGAGAGGTCTCATCACACCGAAACAAATGCTACGCTGGCTCAAACGTAAACCGAGTCTGAACATTCCCGGTGCTCGGGTACGCTCGGCCGATCCATCCACCGGGATCATACGAAGCAGTACAACTCAAGCCATAGTCCCACATGATCAGCCCGTGAGTAGTAGTAGTTGTACTAGTGGATCACGATCTGGCGAACTAAAACGGTCTGGTTCACGACGAAAATTTGGTCTACTGTCCGGATCACAAACATTACCGCCACGATTTCGCACTTCAACCGGGGCCGGGCTTAGTATCCCCAAGCGTCCATCTTTCCTGTGTCCGGGTCGACGAAAATCGACCAAAAGGCGTACTGCCAGTGAAGAACAAGCCAAACTGGAAGAGGATGAATTTCGTACCACCTCTATGACTCCCGATGAGGATGTCGATTTTCCCAGTCCACGTGAATGTGGAAGTACCGATGAGCATGAGGATTCGGAGATTTGATTAGCCAACTATCTCAATTGTGCAAAATGGCTCAAGACCACCCAGATCCGGTTTGCTCTTACACATGCTTCAATCATTCTTCTTGTATCTGCGCATTTATCTTCCTTCAACAACAAAAACTGAAAACAGAAAAAACAACAGACTGACCAGTTCTTAATCAGATAGCATTTATTGAGAACCAATTAGGATTCGAAAGAAAACAATTATAAATAAAAATTTGTAGTCTCATTAATATTTTTGCTTTATCTGGGGCACAATGGTGTGTTTGATATTCGAGATACTTTGTTGTACACAGAACCAAAGCTGAACACAAAGCCGATTGTGTAAAAAAAAGAATCACCGAAACATTTCAGATAAGGTGCGTTACGGCTCAATTTATCAGTCAGAATAATTGTTGCGCAGTATTCATTGTCTTTGAAAGTCGGTCGCGCAAATCTACTGAATTTCTAAATCAGTAGCATAGAAAATAAAGTGAAACATTTGACATGATTTATTTCTTCGCGTCATCATCACGCGTAACACGCTCGATTGAACGACTTGATTCAACCGGACTGTAATCTCACTCCCACTCCCTTGATTAGTTTGTGGGTAATCAGGATAGCATGCACATAATTACGTTCGTCGGTACGCGATTAATCAAGCAGATATTCCGACGGACTAAAATTAAGTTGACTGTCAGCATTTTACGCAACCGGGGTTACAGTCAAACGGAATAAGTAAGCACACAACGAATCAATCAATGATTTTTTGGTTGACTGATCTAAGCTCCTACACCGAAAATCCTAATCAATTTCAGTCATTCTCGTTATTCCAGGAGGCCAAGTTTAAACCTCAGTAAATCTGTTGTGTGTCCATACAGTTTTGTTTGCTCTCTCCATATCCGACAGTCCCCACAGTGATAAATAGAAATCCTTTATTTGGGGTGAACTCTGCCAAATATTTTTGCTTAAATATAGAAAGCAATCTTCGATGGTTGGCAGAATTGCACCCCTGTGTTTGGAAACTGCGGCGTCTCGTATTGCAAATTCGAAAGCTCCGACAGTTTTGCGTTTCTCAGTCAGTTATTTCTACCTGTATATAACAATATGTTTTCCACAGTTATTTTGCCTTGCTTACTGAAGCAGGATTTCAGAGTTTTGAGCCACCGTCCAACTATTATTAGCTATTAGTTTCTTCTATTCTTGTGAATGAGTTAATTGTGAAACGTTCAGAGGATCATACCACTTCTTGTGTGAAATCTGCGGAGAAGATTCTCCCACAGATCCTGACAACCACTGTACAATACAATACAATACAATACAAAGACCAAGTCAATTTGACGGGCCTCTGTTCACCCGTGTGCATGTGTGATAGCACTCATACCAAAGGTAAAACCGTTGGGAACCTCTAGAACCACAGCGGTGCGGAGAAGCTGATATGATACCTTGTAAAATCTTGGTATTCGCTAATTGCATTTACAAAAATGCAATCGTTTAAGCGAACACTTTACTTATCAGAAACCGACTGGTGCTGCTGCCAGCTGATCAGCAGACAACAAAGCTAAATTCGGCGCAGGGTCATGGTGGCGCTGTGGTTTAGTCAATGCCACAGGACCCTGTGGTCCGAGGTTCGAGCCCCACCACCGCCACCTAACTTTGGAGGTAGGCAGCACTACTGTCGTTCAGTTCAATACCACCTCTAAACTATGTGCTTCCACTCTCCAAATCTCGGGGCTTAGGTCACCGGTTTCCATCACTGAACAGCACATCTTCGTGACTATGAGGCTTTCCCCGTCTGCTGTTCATCACACGAAAAGTGTGTAATAAAAAAAAAACAAGGGAAATTCCCCATGGTGCTTCAGGATGGATTAGTTGAATACTGCGCCTGGATTCTCAGGTCAAGCAAATCTTCCAGACGAAACGTCACTGCAGCTCAGTTGGTGCTTATTAGAAAAACAAAGTTTTACATGGTTCAGGTCAAAATTATCTATCAATTCACTTTTCCGCTTACGTGGGCAATGCCAGACTGATGTTGACCTCCTTTTGCTGACAAACTAGGGGCTTTTGGCGCTTGATTGTGATGACCTCTGCAATTTTTACCAGTCAACCGTCCGTCCATTCGGGGTTGTGTAAACAATCCGAAACGAAGTCCCACGATCGCCTTGGTGGCCAGTCTGAAACAGACG